TTTATATACAACTCAGTTCTGTCTCCATTTTCAGTCTTTCTGACTCTGATGCCAACCAGGAAATTCATCGTAGCACAGCCAGCCCTTCAGTTACTCACGGCTAGAAGAAACCAAATGATCTCCTGAAATAACATGAGTCATATTAAAATCAGGTAGCAGATATTGTTGTTGTTCAGTCATTTTAGTTATGTCTGACTCTTTGGGGTTTTCTTGACAGAGATACTGGAATGGTTTCCCATATCCTTCTCCAGCTTATTCGACAGATGAGGAAACTGAGGCAAACAGAGTTAAGTGACTTGCCCAGGGTCACACAGCTAGTAAGTGTCTGAGGCCAGATTTGAACTCAGGTCTTCCTGACTCCAGGCCTGGCAACAGCCCTCATTAGCCAGTCTCCTTCTACACACTGTCATCCAGCATAAATGGTCTACATACTTCCTCTTCATACACAATATTCTATCTCCCATCTCTGTCCCTTCACTAATACAAAGTCTTCATCCCCTTGACCACCACCTCTCAGTTTCCCTGTCGTCCTTCAGTACTCAACCTCAAATCCTACCTTCTGCAGGAAGCTCTTCCCAGTGGAGCTTTCTCCTCTGAGATTACCTTCTGTCTACTCTGGATATATCATGCACGTATCCCATTATTTCCATGCTGTCTCTCCCATCTGACTGTGAGCTCCTTGAGGTCAAGGACTACAGTTTTTACTTTTCTTTGCAACCACAGCATTTGGAACAGTGCCTGGCACACAGTAAGCTGTTGATAAAAGTTTGTTGACGTACTAACTGTTCCTAATACAGGATATTCCATCTCTTTAGTCTGTCCGCCATACATAAAATGCTCTCCGTTATCTCTTCTATTTCCCAGATTCCTTCAAAAGTCATTTCAAGCACCACCTACTGAAAAAGGATTTACCTGGTCCCACCAGCTACTCATGCCTCCCTTTCCAAGCTCACCTTGCATCAGATTTGCATATGACTTGTGTGTGTTTATACACATACATTTTATATGTATATACACACACACACATACACACGCACAAACACACACATACCACTATTGCCTCCTTTATCAGGATGTAAACTTCTCGAGGGCAAAGACTGTTTTTTGTCTTTCTATCCTCTGTCCTTAGCATAGTGTCTGGCACGTAGCAAGCACTTAATAAATGCTTGTAGTCTGATTGGTTCGTAGATGTTCCAAGAGGTAGAGGAAAAGCGAGAGCATTCTAGGCCTGGGGGACAGCCTGGATAAAGGAACAAAGGCCGGAAATAGAATGTCGTGTTTGTTCAACTCTAACACAGAATGAAGGAAGAGGAGAAACATAAAAGAGAAGCTAGCACCAGATTGTGAAGGGCTTTCAATTCTGAATAGAGGAGTTTTTAGTTAGCCTAAAGGAAATAGGGAGCCACTGAAGCTTCTTAAGTAAGGAAGAGACCTATTCAAATCTGTGCTTCAGAAATAGCAACTTGGGGGGGGGTGCGCAGCTAGATGGCACAGTGGATAGAGCACCCGCCCTGGAGTCAGGAGGACCTGAGTTCAAATCTAACCTCAGACACATAACACTCACTAGCTGTGTGACTCTGAGAGAGAGAAATGGCAACTTGACAACTGTATAGAAGGTGCTTTAGAGAGAAGATAGACTAGAATAGGGAGATGAATTAGGAGATTCATCCTAATGTGGAAGTAGAATCAAGGAGATTTGGTACCTGATTGTGGTAGAAGGAATGATCAAGGATGAATGAGATGGCAGACCTGAGTGATTGGAAGGATAGTGGCGCAATCAGCAGATGGAGGGAATCTAGGAGGAGAAGGAGGTTTCAGAAGAAAGGTGGAGTTCTGTGCTGACCATGTGGAGTTTGAGATTCCTGTGAGATATCTGGGTAGAGATGTCTAATAGCCAGTTGATGGTGCAAGCCTGGATCTCAGGAGAGAGGTGATGATTGGATATATAGTCCGCACAGAATTGGGCATTGAATCCAAAGCGGCTAATGAGATCCCCAAGAGAAAATGAAGAGAGAGAAGAGGGCCCAGGACAGAACATTGGGGTATACAGACACAGGAGGTGGGATGTAGATACAGTACAGCAAGGGAGACTGAGAAGGAGCAACCTGATAAGTGGAGAACCAGAAGGAATAGCATGGTGAAAACACAGGAAAGACAGCGTTTTAAGTGCTACAGGAAGGTCAGAAAAGATAAAGACTGAGAAAATACCCTTGAACTTTGTACTTTAGAGATCGTTGGTAACCTTGGAGAAAGCACTTTCACTCAAGTGGTAATGTTGGAAAGCCATTCTACAAGGACGTGAAGAGTTGAAGGTAAAGAAACAGAAGGCAATAGTGTAGACAGATTTTTCTATGAATTTGACTATGTAAAAGGAGAGAAAAGCAGTGAATGAAAGCGTGAAAAAGCATTTATTAGATGCTTATGTTTAATCACTATTCCAAGCCCTGGGAATATAAATTTAAAAATCTAAATAGTCTCAACTCTCAGGGAGCTGATATTCTAACTGGGGAGTGCAACACATTTTTTATAAAGGTCAATTGAAGGACAGATGGGAAGGCCTGGAAATCCTCAGGGTTCAGCAACAGGCAGAGTGCAAGCACCAGAGCTTCTAGCATTATGACAGTGCCTGGCCTGTGCAGGTGAAGCCTGGAAGTCCTCAGGAGGCAGACAGGGCAGACTGCAAGGCTTGAATATTCACAGAGCCATCGTAAGCATCTCTTGAAAATGTTTCTTCCTCTTTACTCTAGCTGGATCGTATTTTCCACATACGCCATAACGTCTATTTTTCTTTGCAGAGAAATCAACTCCAGTAGCAGAATGACAGTTTGGAGGGATGGCAGATTCTAGAGAAGGTTTTTTGTGTTGTGTTTTGTTTTGTTTTGTTTTCATGAAGAATTGAGGAGATCTGCATGACTGTAGGCAATAGCGAAAGAGCCCATGGGTAAAGAGAGAAGGAAGATTAGAGAAAGAGGATGATTGATGGGAAAAGCTCTGAGAAGAGACAGGACGGGATGAGTGCATCATGCCAGGCTTGCGTGCATACTGCTTTTCTAAAAATTTTATTTATTTTATTTTTAATTAATGGAATAAAAAGCAAGCATTTCCATAGCATAGCATAATAAAGAGATGATTGCACATGAAACTGCAAATCTATTATGTACAACTTGCTGCTCCTTTTAAATATAATAAAGTTATTATGTAAATTTCTTTTTTTCCTTTTTTGCTTCCTCCCTGTGCCCCTCCACCTTAGAGACTGCTACCATTAGACACAAATATGTTTGTATGCATGTGTAGATATATAGATAGATAGATGCAAAAACATTCTATACCTACTTCTGTTTATCAGTTCTTTCTCTGGATGCAGATAGCATTTCTTTCATATGTCCTTTGTAATTAATTTGTGTATTTATAATAGTCAAAATAACTTATTTGCTCAAAGTTGTTCTTAAAACAATATTGTTGTTAACTGTATACAGTGTTCTCTTGGTTCTCTTCATTTTTGCTCTTTATCATTTCATGTAAGTAAGTCCATATTTTTCTAAGCTCATTGAGCTCATCGTTTCTTTTTCTTTTTCCTTTTTAATAGTATTTTATTTTTCCAATTACATGTAATGATAGTTTTCAACATTATTTTTGTAAGATTTTGAGTTCCAAATTATTCTCTCTCCCTCCCTCCCCTCTTCCTTCCCCAAGGCAGCAAGCAAGCTGCTATAGGTTATACATGTACAATCATGTTGAACATATTATCAGTCATGTTGTGAAAGAAGAATCAAAACAAATGAGAAAAACCATGAGAAAGAAAAAACAACAACAAAAAAGTGAAAATGCTTTGTTTCCATCTGCATTCAGACTCTATAGTTCTTTCTTTGGATGTGGATAGCACTTTCCATCACGGAGTTCATCATTTCTTATAGCACAGTAGTAATCCATCATAATCATATATCACAACTTGTTCAGCCATTCCCCAATTGCAGGCATCTCTACAATTTAGCTTTCTTATTTACCACATATAGATATCAACTAGTCATCTGACCTTCCTCCTTCCAATACCACTGTTTCTTCTTGCTCTGCTTCTGACTTTAACACCATATTTCTACACTGGTAACTTCATCCTCCTCCCCTTTTTGTGTGTTGTCTTTTCCTATTAAAATAGTCGTGGTTGTTGTCATTTGTACCGGAAGAGGACCAAAATGACATCACAGTGTTGGGGTCAAAGTGTAACGTGTCAGACTGTGGCTGATCAGAACAATATGAGCTTGGAAGGCTCTACCCCAAGTCGGGCCCAAATAGTCCATTTGAACATTTGAAGTGGAGTTGTCTCTAAATTTGTGCGCCTCATGTTTCTTTTCAGCTATTGCAGTTCTTTGCAGCACTTTGGGCAGTCTTGTGCGAGTGTCTCCCATGTCTCACAATCAATAACAAAATTCTTCAGAGAGACTTTTAGAGTGTCTTTGTATTGCTTCTTATTACCTCCGTGTGAACACTTGCCTTGTTGGAGTTCTCCGTAAAATAGTCTTTCAGTCAAATATAAGTTTGACGTTCGAATGCTCTCTGCAGTAGAGTTTGAATGCTTAGCAGTTTAGCTCAAGCAAAGGCTTCAGCATGCAGAACCTTATCTTGCCAAGTGATCTTCAGAATCTTCCTAAGACAATTCAAATGGAAGTGGTTCAATTTTCTGGCATGACACTGCTGTGAAACCTGGACGGTCTACCAGTGCCATGCCAGAAAATTGACCCACTTCCCATTAGAATCTTAAAGGGCAGGGACTGTCTTTCTTTTGCTTTTATTTGTACATCCAACACTTAACACAGTTCATGTCACAGAATAAGCACTTATCAAAGCTTGCTGCCTTGCTTTGCCTTTCATTCTGCCTGCCTCATAGGGCTGTTGTGAGGAAAACATTTTACGACCCTAAAGTCACTACAGAAATGTAAGTTATCATTGAACCATACCCAGTGTACTGATCCCAACAATTTTTTTTCATCTTATTTTCCTTGCAGGTCTCCAAGGCTGCGGCAGATCTACTGGCATATTGTGATGCCCACATCCGAGAAGACCCCCTTATCATACCAGTGCCTGCATCAGAAAACCCCTTCAGAGAGAAAAAGTTCTTTTGTACCATTCTCTGAGTCCATTTGTAATGCAAGTGTCCCCTTTTCTGTCTGTGAAAACCTCCCATAGAAATTATGCATGCTTTTAGCATTAGAGGATAATAGAGAAGATTATTACTCTTCTTGCTGTCTAACTCAAAATGGCCTAGGGTGCTGTGCTTTTTAAATTGACTTATTAAAGAAGCAGTGTACATTTTTACAGCAAATGATACATGTGCCAAGTAGAATTAAACATGGGGCTAGGGGTTGGGTTTTTTTTTTTAATCATTATAAATCCCAAAGTTAAAATGCATTAAGTTAATTCATTTCAGTGAATATGGTTACTGGGGATGAGCACTGTTTTTTCATGGAGGAAAGAAAATTGCAGCCAAGAATCTTCATTATATATCCAATTAAAGACCTTTGGACCAACTGTACCATTTTTATTTCCTTTCCTGGAGAGAATGTAAGTCCTGGCTAATCTAGATCATCTCTATTTCCTATCCCATCCTCCTCTTTGAGAGATAAGAGAAACGAGGATTGACTTGTTCTCCCTCATTTGCATCCCATGGAGGCTCTGTGCCTCTCTGACGTACACACCCTATGTGGAGCGACCTTTGTCTTTCCTGTAGCACTGCCTGCTGTTAGTTGTTCTGTAAATGCCCTTTCTGCAACTGTGGAATGTTGAGTGAACACTAGAGTAAATTTGACTATAAATCCAAGCTGTGGCTCTGCTGTCTGTTTTTTTATCGACCTGGTTGCCCAGGGTTCTTTTCCCCTCAACAGTCATACAACTAGATATAGGAAGCTACGGAAACCACGTTTCATCCCCACCTATCACCCTTCCTCCTACTCTAGTCTAGTTAGAATGATATTCTTGCAGATCCAAAAGTCGGTTGTAACAGGTCATCAGCATTTATCAAATGTCCACCATGAGCAAAGCTGCACAAGAAAATATGGCCCAGCCTGCCCTGGAGGAGGTCATAATCTAGTTGGAGAAAGATAGGTTTAAAAATATATACAAATAGTAGGTGTTTAATAAATATTTATTGACTGACAAATTTAATAGTCTGCAGTGAAACAGATATTTGTCTTGCCACCTTCCCACCACTACCAGAGTTAGGAAGCTAGCCCCCCACAACTTACCTGTCTTACGAAGAAACTTTATATTTCTATAAGGTTCATCTTAACTTCAATTAACCTTCATTAGACTACATCTCTTAGAGCTCCTCCAGCTCCAGGGGTGGGGAACCTGCGACCTCAAGGGCACATGTTGCCCTCTAGGTCTTCAAGTGTGGCCCTTAAGGACCTAGAGGGCCACATGTACCCTCGAGGCCTCAGGTTCCCCACCCTGATAGGCTGTTCTTGAATTAAACCTATAGAATGAGGACTGGATCCAAACCAAAATGGTGCCTGGAGATGAGAATAAACTTTGGGATAAAGAAACATTTGTTTTATGTTGTCTTTCAGTCCCTTTGGAGACTGGAGTTCTGTCCCAGGTTCAGGCATCAGCCTATTGTAGAGCACTGGACAAATGATTGTTTATCTTATTTTCTCCAATCTAGAAATATTCCAAAGATCCATGATTTTATCCGTGTAGATAGTCCCTCCCCCAGTGACAAATCACAGTATCTCCACACCTCAGTGCACAATTTTGAAAGGAAGCAGGGTAAAGCTGGACTTGGAGTCAGGAAGCCCTGGGTTTGAATCCTGCCTCAGATGCCTCCTATCTGTGTGACTTCAGTGACTGAGCAAGTCACTTCAGTTCAGTGAACCTCAATTTCCTCATCTGTAAAATGGGAATAATGATACCATAATGATACCTGAAATACTTACCTAGAGTGGTAAATGCATAGAAAGTTGACCTCAAAGAAGATCCAGGTTCAAGGCATGCCACTTATTTGTCCTCGCTAAATGACTCTGGACAAGTCACTTTATATCTCAATGCCCCAGGCAAGTCTCTAAAGCTATAAGTTGTAGAACATGTACCAGTATGAATTGGGAGGGAAAGGACTTTCCTCTTTGGGAGCTCCTCATGACAATGAAATCACAGATCTGGTTCAACATACTTACCTCACAAATTCTTGTTTAAAGTACTGTATTAAGGTCTATCACTATCATCAGTCTTCATCATCATTGTTATCTTTATGAATTGCTGTGGCCAAAAAAGAATTTATCACTTGGTGATCAGTGTTCAGTGATAAGCCTCTCCACACTTACCCAGGCTATTCCCTGGGGGAAATGCACCACTGCTCACCCTATGCTAGAAATCATTTTTGTCTTTCTATGTGTACCCAGTGCTCAGAACAGTACTTGGCACCTAGGTGCCTACTAAATGCTTGTTGACTGACTTGACTTTTCCATCTGCCAGAGGTGGCAAGCGTCACCTACGAACCACAACTGGATGACGACTTCAGAGAAGGCCAATCTGTAAAATGAGAATGATGCCCCCTCTGTTTCCTTTGGTGTGTCCTAAAAAGAAACATGCAAGATGGGATTTTTGTTTGGGTAACCAGAAAATGTCCCTTGGGAGCACAAGGGAGGCCCATGCTGCCTCACTTTCCACCCTCAACCAGAAAAGGGCTGGGCTGAAATCCTCAGTGACCATATCTATCTGATCATTTGGGAGGCAAGACTGTCTTTTTTGGTCCCTTCTAGCTATCTCCCCCTTCCCTTTGGGTAAAAGGAACAGAGTTATGTCTCAAGGACCGATGCTAACACACTCAGCTAAACCATGGTTTATCAGTTTATTCTTTTAGGGGAAATCTAAGTGAGCCCCAAGTTCAGGCTTTAGGGCTCTGCATGGTAGAATTACAGGATTATCAATAAAACTGAACGTAACTTGATAACCCCCAGGGAGATCTTTTTGCCTCTGCAACAGAACAGCGGGGTCCTAGTATAGAGAATCCGTGAAATTCAAAACCCCTCAGGACCATCCCTGCCCCCACTCCCATGCACACTCTGATCTCAAGTAACCTTATGCCAGAAGACATTAGGAACCAACTCATTTAGAAAAAGAGAATTAGTCTCACAATCTTCTATCAGCAAGGGGATAGAAAAATACAACAGAGTAGGGGCACTGTTTTGTTTAAACAAATAAGAAATAAGAGAGGGGAGGAGAAAGAAAGCATCCCTCTGGGCTTCACAGCTGAGGTGACACAAGTCCACGACCTTGCTTTCGGTCTTGTCCCAAACTGCTTGATGTGGTCTCATTTGCCTGTTATGGACAATGACCCTGACCTCCCCCAGGAGGCGCCCAGTTGCTTTCTGTGCTATTAAACAATGGTCTCTGCTCTGCTCTCCACGGACATGGCTGCTGCTTCCACTCTGGCTGCACTGCCTTTTCTCCTGAGCTCTTCCTCTGTTCAAGCTCCATGTACTTCCAGATCTCATACATGCCAAATCCAATCACATGCAGTGTTACCTCAGTCCAGGGAAATTTAAAATCCCAGGAGTCTACATAGGTTCTGGTCACTCCTACCTACAAAAGAGGCAGAATCTGTCCCCTGTCTCATAAGGGCTATTACATGCTTTCCTAGGGTTTGGAATTTTGCAGTCCCTTACAAAATCAGGTACAGTACAGTTGGCATTAGTGATTATACAGGTATACACGAGCACATAACAAAACAAAACACATCAGTGTATCACAAAAAATGATTAACCCAGTGTCTCAGGTAATCATTCCAATTCACTATGCACAATAAAATACAACAATCTAATCTGTACCAAACCCCTACCCTTTAAGAGGGTTACTATAGTTAAATAAATGCAAATGTATTCCTTATACGAGAATAATAAAGGGAAGCTAGATATCATCAAAGATCATTTAATTTGGCTGGAGAGACGATGTAAAATTCCTTACAAAAAAGCCTTTCACACAGTGACTGGCACATAGTAGGCACTTAATAAAAGTTTATTGATTGACTGATTTTTGATAGACTAAAGACTTGATAGCTTTTAAATGACTCCAGGTCACCTTGGTGTTTTGATTCTGTTATTGAAAGTTCTTTTAGTTCTAAAGTCCCATTAGGGTGTACTCACAATATCGATGTTAGGCACCAAAGGTACTTGTCGAGCAAATACAGACAAATTACCTACTGTGTATGATAAAGTAACTGCACAGTTCAGTTTATCTTAAATACTTTGGGATTTATGGCCCAGGTGTCTTTACTCTGTTGTCCCCGACAACAGAATTGACTTGAAAAAGTTGCAATACATAAACTTTGTCAAGACAAAAGGGCAGAGGATGTGGTGGGACAGAGGGACCTTTAGAGTGGAACATCCTTCATTTGCTCCACTGAAATCTGAACAAAATCAAGGCAAAAAAACAAAAACAAAAACACAGCACACCCCTCCTACTCTCATTCCCTTGGGTTATTCATCCTCAAGCTGCTTAGGGGCAGCTAAGTAGCAAATAATGGATAGAGTGTTGGATAGAGTCCTGGAGTCAGGAAGATCTGAGTTCAAGTCTGGCCTCAGACACTTACTATCTGTCTAGTAAGTCACTTATCCCTGTTTGTCTCAGTTTCCTCATCTGTAAAATGAGCTGGAGAAGGAAATGCCAAACTTCTCCAATATCTTTGCCAAGAAAACCCCAAATGGGGTCATGAAGAGTCAACTGAACAACAAATTGCTTCCTTCTCCCACCCCTTACTTTTTCCTAATTCTCTTTTGTTTCTTCTGTAACAACTAGGTTTTTGCTGTGGTTTGATTTTTTTGACTAGGTAAAAGAAACCATTCTTTGCCTCCTTTCTTTTTTTTCAGGCAATTGTGGTTAAGTGACTTGCTCAGGGTCACACAGCTAGAAGTGTCAAGTGTTTGGTCTGAATCCAGATTTGAACTCAAGTCCTCCTGACTTCAGGGCTGGTGCTCTATCCACTGTACCACCTAGCTGCCCCCCGCCCTGGCCTCCTTTCTTACCTAGCCTTAATCACTGAATGGGCATTGCCTCAGTCAAACTAAGAGCTGTTAAAGATCTTAGTATAAAAAGGCCAAGGTCTCCCACTATATCAGGGCCATCTTCAGTCATCCTGATCTATATCTGGCCCCTGGGCCCAGATGACTCCAGAGGAGAGTGAGGATGGTGACTTTCTATAGCCTTGCCCCACTTAATCCAATTCATTCACAAGTCATAACATCACCTTCCCAATGTCATTGGTCCTCTTTGAGAACGAAGGACAAACAACAATAACAACTAGGTTCAAACTGCCCTCAGACATTACATGTGACTTTGACCAAGTCACTTAACCTCAGTCTGCCTGAATTTCCCCCTTTTTAAAATGAGGATAATAATAACATCTACTTTACAGGGTTGTTGTGAAGGTCAAATGAGAAAATGTTAGTAAAGCACTAAGGGCAGTGCCTTGCACATAGTAGGTGCTTAATAAATGCTGATTTCCATCCTTCACTTATGGAGGCACCGTGTCTGCTTATCATTCATGTTTCACACAGCCTTTTCTCCAGCGACTCTACAATGTTTTCTGGTTCAGCTTCCTTTCTATTAGCTGAGTTGGATTCTCCACTGCATAAAGGGTTATCTGAGGCATAGAGTGAGAAAACAAATGATTGACCCCTTGGAGGTGAGCAGCAGGGAATCTTTCTGTACTGTGCTGTTCACACCACAGGCACTCAAGAAAAGTCAGTTGTTGAGAGTGAGGACATACATGGCTTCTAAGTCCCTAGGCACTCAGCGCACAGCTAGCACTTCACCAGAGCCCCTGTT